CAACATATTTAGCTTCGACTAAAAATTACTTGAACACAAGAGTAATGGAGTAGCCTTTATCGTAAATATTAATTAATTTTTATATATACATTATTGTCGAATTTTGTACAAATTCACTTAAAGAAATAATAAAGAGTTGGGCAGATACATACATACAAGGGGTGTGTTAGTTGTTCCACCTCCACGCGTGCGAAGTTCTTGAACATTCTGTGATAACAAGTTGTTACAGAACGCCCAAGGATGTAGTCGGTACACCCTGGGGCCAACACTGACAACTCTCGGCTTCAGTCTGAGTCTTGTCAGTGAGGGCGCGAAGCGATCAACACGGCCCGGCCATGCGTCTCTGGGGGTGGACCATGGCAAGTGGTGGGCGGTCTTAATTTACACCCTCCTGCGTTCATGCCTACGCAGTTGAGCGCCGTACGCAGGGATGAAGGAATCCTGTATTGCTTTAGGGCCCTGATTTCATGCTAAACGGTAGCCCTGTGACTAGCCAACACAGGGAAACGGCAATGTGTCCCGTCAGAGGGCCACCGGCGAGGTGTGGGGGGACGAACTCGGCCATGCTGATGGTGAGTATGTGCGGAATACCTGGCGGACTTTGATCAAGTCAGCCAGCCGCACATTTCGAGCCCCCGATGTCGCGCAATGAGCTCCTAACTTCTGCACCTATACTCTCCTGATAATCCTGGTATCCCGAATGGGACATCCCCAAACGTGCGGGCTCCGTGGTGGGTGGGAAATCAGGAGAGCGAACAACGAACACTTTACTATGGACAATAATGATCATTCTAAAACTTTAAATCACCCAAAACCGGTGGTACTGGAGGGGAAACCCAAAAGTGCCCCAACAACACATACACACACACACACACAACAGCGCCCTACGGTGAGTGGTAGGCCAAAGGGGAAACCCCAAGGTCAGCCAAGCACCGATGCTGGTGCTAGTTCAGCAGTAGCGGTAGTGGCCCAAACCTCGGGTTCTGCGGCCCCCGCGAACACACCGGGTTCTGCATAGCAGAACCCCACGAACACAGCTCTTGAAGCAGGGTGGACCCTGGTTGGCGTAAGCTAGGGCGGCCGGGCGGCGTCGTGGTGAATGTTCACTGATCCCACGGCGCCGACTCAACCGGCGAGAGGGAAACCCGGGGGGGTTTTTAGGTGGACCCTGGTGAGTCGCACACCCAAACTCAAGGCCACAGCCCATCCGCAAGGAAGGGATAAGCGGCCACGGTGAGCGACCACCTCCAGCCCCCAGTGGGAGCAGGGGACGCCCTGCCCGCAAGAATAAGAAAGGTCGTCTGAGTGAAAACCCCAACAACCAACGGCCGAAGGAGGGAGAGGCGAGGCCCCCAGTGGATGACGGAAGTGGCCCGAGGACTGCACCAGTGCGGTCTGCTGGGTCCGCCGCACATCCCTCTGGAAGGGCTCCCCTCCCTCCTGGAAACAAACCAGTAAACGCGCCGAGGCCCTCGACCAATGCCAAACGTGCTCGACTCGACGAGACCATATCTCCGAGAGGCGAGCATAAACGACAAAGGGTTGAGAGGCCCGCCCAACAACGAACGTACGCCGAGGCTACCAAGCCAGAACTGATGGCGGTGATTACCTCGGCAAAAACCGGCTACATACGGAGCCCCGATGCCGACAAGGTTCAGGAGGCCTTATGTGAGCGTCTCGCCCAGGGAGCGGAGGAGTGCGGCGAGGAGGACGTCGGCCCACAATTCAGGGGTAAACCTGTCTTTAGTGACGGGTCCCTGAAATTGTGGTGCCATGACACAGCCACATTCCAGTGGCTTGAAGATGCCATTAGCACCATCAGGCTGCCGTCCGGGGAGCCCCTCTTATTGAAAAATGGGGTGGAGGCTCCCCGGAGGGCAGTCTGCGGACAGTTAATTCCCGGCCACTGGGAGGATGCACGCCGAATCAGCCGCATCCTCAAGTGGCAAAACCTATGGGCGGAGGTTCACCGCTGGTTTGTCCACAAGCTGCAGAAGCAAAGTGGACATACCTTAGTGGTGGTGAGCCTCCCCGAAGAACTGGTCCCGGCTGTCCTTGGGCATGACCGGCGCTTCACTTTCCAGTTAGGCACGGTCTACCTCAGGTTCAGATCCAAAAGGGGCCTGTACACGGATACGCCGCCTGAGAAGGCGGACATCAATAAACCACCGATGGACGTAACCCCAGAGCCCTCTACCTCCTATGGCATCACCGGAGACGGGAAGGAGCCCTTCCAGACCCCCGTCTCTGCGGACGAGTGCGTGTCGGGGATGGGAGACATCCGACTGAGCGAGGACGAAGACGAGGAGCTGCTGTCCACTGATGGTGGTTACCCCCTCGCTCAGTAAATCACTAATCATCCAATGCAACCTCCACCACAGCCAGGCCGCAACGGTTCAACTCCGGAAATGGTTGGAGGCAAACAACACAGCCGTGGCACTGATCCAGTAACCGTGGATCAGCGCCCGCGGCCAAATAAATGGACTCTCACAAATGAGAGGTAAGCTGATATCAACTACTCTAATAATTTACATATACAGCCACTAACAGAATTCTGTTCCAGAGACCTGTGTGCCGTCAAGCTTTTAGCTGACACGGCCACGGGCCTGCCCGAAGTGGTGCTTGCCTCTGTCTATATGGCGGAGACTGATGTACCACCACCGCAGGAAATGGAATGGCTAATCAAATACTGCGAGCAGAGCGGCCAGCACATCGTCGTGGCCACTGACTCCAATGCCCACCATCCGTTGTGGGGCATGGAACTTGTTAATGACAGAGGTAAGAACCTAACAAAACCACTTAACTCTACAGGGGATTAAAGGACACAGCGGCTCACGTCTCAATGACACAGCAGATGAACTAGCCAGAAAAGGGTCAGAGACGGACGCAGTAGGACCAGAACCCATAGTGTTCCTCCCCTATCAATGGTCCAGAACAACTATACACAAAGGACAAAAACTTCACATAATAATACATGGACCACCCTTACGGTTTGTAGACAGGCGAGGGAAGCACTCCCAACACTCAATGCCAGTCTATCACGAATGTTAATTAAACTCAACAGGCAAGAGCTTCGTACTCTAACTGCTGCCCTAACAGGTCATGGTCCATACAATAAACACCTTTTCAATTTAGGTATCACAGACAGCCCTCTATGCAGATAGTGCATGGAGGGGGAGGAAACGGCTGCGCACATCCTACTACAGTGCTCGGGCGTGGCCAACTACAGGGCAAAGTACCTTGGAGTGCCAAGGTCGCTCCCCGAAGTCTTCAGCAAACCTAGGAGGCTGCTGAGATTCCTGGAGGAGCTTGGGTGGCACAAGTAGGACCCTGCACCCACCACACGCAAAATAAGCGCCTTGACATCGAGTTGCGGACACCAGCCCATTACACCAAGTACCAAGTACCAAGTACATACATACAAATATGAAAATAAATGTGTACTATAAGAAATGTACTGATATTCCAACTAAATGTAAACTCAAATATCCGTAATTCTGAAAACCGATTTATAATAAAACTGTTATGCTTTCGTGTAATTTTAATGCTTTTCACAAAGACAAAAGAAATAGTTTTTATTTTGCAATCTTCCTAAAAAAATACATTTGACATTATGAAAATTTGAGCTAACGTTATTTCAGGCAAATGTATTTTCTGACTTCTAATAGGTAATCCGAAGCCGTAAAACGAGTACAGCAATATTTTGTTAGTTATTGCTAATGTTTAATTAAAAATAATTTTAAAAATAACTTTTTTTTTTTAAATTATAATGCACACATTCAACATAGCTCGCACTAGGGAGACCTTGTGCCGCGGGTGCCATGGACACACACATAGACAACCACAAATTACACCCAAACTCACGAGAGAAATAAATGTAAGCCCTACAAACATTTCTCCCGGCCCGGGAATCGAACCTGGAACCTCTGCGTGGCAGTCCGGCATGGTAACCGTTCGGCCACGGAGGCAGTCACTTAAAATCAAAGCGACTCTATAGTTTCTTTGTTCTAAATATTTTATTAATTGCTTGTGGTTCGAACAATTGAAAATGACCAAGAAGTTTATATTATAAGTATCTTGAAATTGACACAATGGGTCTCTTTCCATCTTTTGCGCATGCAATGTGTAGAAAAAGGACAGTTAGCTATTTGATTATTTTGTGTGCTTTTGTAATTTATATTTACGATTCATTTATATATAAATTAAATACTATAAAACTGTACAAAATAACATTTTTCAATGAGAAATATGATAACACAATATATTTGTTTAGTGAAAATATTACAAAACCCTGTTTTTACACTTTACTGCAGTAATTTTTACAAGTTATTCTTATATGGTACAGCATGATTAACAACCGCGCTGACAGTCGAACAAACGAAGATGGTTGCAATGGACACTCTGTATGTGATTTTAACGCCCTATAGATGCGGACACTTTTAAGCGCGAACCCGATGTCTATTTATTGGTAGGTCAATGTCTATCACAGTTTTTTAAGAAATTAATTCATTTTTAAGAATTATTCATAAAATTAATAAAGTGAGAAAAGTCCAATTGGACAAATTCTTCCCACCATGTTTTGTAATCAACTAGACGTCCAGCTTTACTCTCTCCATCATTTAAAACCACAATTATTAGCTGAAGGAACAAAAAATAACCTCTTGTTACAAGGTGATCAAAGGCAAATTGAAAACCTTGAGAAAACTTATTTCACAGAAACGTTGAACAGAAAATCTCAAAATATGCAAGTAAGGGAGGTTTTTCTGAAGTATTTTTGAGAACGTCACACAAATCCAGCCAAATTTCTAGCCAAATCTAGGCTTTAAAGGAACTATGCCTACTTACATGCAATGACGTCATTACATTGACTGTCAATGAACCACAGTAAACAATACAATTTTTGTGTCCATTTACGTTAAACTATGCTGAAAACCTATGTTGTTAAGCAGGAGAAATGATTGTTGTAACAATTTTACTCACAAATAAATTAAAAAACTTACACAGTCCCGCAAAAAGAGACAAATCCTCCTAGTTTATGCAGGCTAACCGCGATCACTGGTTGACAGCGACACTAAATAACATGGCGGCATCTCGTAGCAGCCGGTCATCTCTGTTTGATTTGTAGAACATTTTACACTGGCGTAGACCATCCACGACTACAGAAACTTCTTTTAGGAAGAACACCCTCCAGTGCAGAATCAAAATAAATAAGTTCGTATCACTCACTAAAGGTAAAATGACGTAACATTCTCAACCTTCACGGTCGCAAGGTACAAATGGTAAGTAGGTACGAGAAAAATAATATTGTTTTTCTTCGGAAAAATTCGAGACGGTAGGTATTATTGTAACACTTAGACTCTTTGAAACGCTTTATTCACAAATTACACTTTAATGTTAATAACAATCCACTAAAAATTAAAACGCATTTTTATTATTCTGCCAAAAGATAAACGTGACACGCAGTCAAGCAAGCTCGCTCGCTTTTCTTTTTTTTTTATTAATCGGTGTTGCCAAAACATTTACTCTTGTTTCCATGCCGTATATGTTGCACGTCTTGCTTGATACATAAAAAAATTTACTCACCTGCCGAACATTCACTATTTCTATTTTCCAATCAGATTTGGCTTATGAGTTGCCTTTATTTTTATTTTTTTCAGGTAGTTGTGGTGGTGATACACTAGTTCGTTTTATCTCGTGCCATTTTGAATTCCTTGATTGAAAAATAAAATAATCATGATACCTTCATTTGTCACTGTTGTGTCATTTCTATTTAAATGAGCTTTGAGTTGAATGCAATTTTTCTATTCAAAGTAAGAATCAACTATTAATCTATTCTCTATATTTATTTGTTGCGTCCTATTGACTTATTGATTCAGTAATGGCATTACCTTGGCACATTCCCTTAGAAGCATTACCATCGCTCAAAAAACATTCGGAACCTCCACAGCCATCTCTCATGAAACATTACGCTAATCTAAATATTAATGGAAACCCTTGTGAAGAACTTCAAACAGGGTTAATGTGCGACATTGGTATTAGTAATCGAGAACCTGCTTCAATTCAAAGATTAATAGCTTCTGGAATGACAGTCGCCCGTCTCAATATGCGAAATTTAGAGCCTGATGCTTGTGCTCAGTTGGTACAAAGCGTAAGACAAGCAGTTTATAATTACAGTGCAGAACTAGAGTATGTTTACCCCTTAGCGCTTATAGTTGATGTTCGAGGACCTGATATAGTTACTGGAGATCTAAAGGCAGGTCCTCGTTCAACCGTAGAAATATTGGAAGGTTCAGTGATAAGACTAACAACCGACGCCAGTTGGCGTGAAAGTGGTATGGCGGATTGTTTGTTTGTTGGTTACGATCATTTAACGGACTTGCAACCAAATGATATAGTATTCATTGACAGTTTAACTCCTGGAAAGATTAAATTAATTGTAACTGAAGTTGGAGACGACTCTATTGAATGTAAGGTAGTCGCCGGAGGAACCATTGGGCCTAAAATGACGGTACGCATATCCCAAGTTCCTCGTGATGTAGACGACAATAAAGGAGGGAAAGATACTGATTCTGAACCCTGTAGTGATGACTCGATGGAGCCTTTTGAACATATGGAACAACAAATTTCCTGGGCTATTGGAGCTGATGTAGATGCGGTATTAGTTCCAAATACTCAAACTGTGACAGATATTCGCTTAGTAAAAGAGATACTTGCAGAAAAAGGAAAACACATTTTGGTGTTTGCATGTCTTGACACCGCGTTAGGACTGGAAAATATTGACGATATTCTCTTTGAGGCAGATGGTCTGTGCATAGATAGATCTGTATTAAGTACCGATTTACCAGTCGAAAAGATTTTCATTGCTCAAAAAATTATCTTATCAAAATGTAATCTGTCCGGGAAACCTTGTATTTGCAAAGCCGTAATTAATGAACAAATTCCAACACTTTGCGTAAACGATATAGCCAATCTGGTACTAGATGGTGCAGATGTACTCGCCTTAGAATTACATTACGGTTCTCCTTTAAAGAAATTTGCACCTACGTACGACGCGATTCGAATGGCCGAGCATTGTCTTGCCGCTGCTGCTGTAATTTGCAGACATGCTGAACGAATTACATGGCAACCACAGGTATACGGAAACATGGAATTAATGCAAAGTCCGTTAGAAGAGCCTACTAAAGCTGTATGTGTCAGCGCTGTGGAACTGGCTATGAGGTCTCGATCTGTTGTAATAATATGTTTAACGAATTCTGGACGCACTGCTAAAATTCTTTCACATGCTCAACCATTGTGCCCGATTGTGGCAGTAACTAGATCTTGTCATACAGCACGACAACTGCGGTTCTGGCGAGGTGTGCGAGCAATGCATTACTTTGAAGTAAACAAAGGAAGTTGGGATTCAGAAATTGAAGCTAGAATTCACGCAGCTCTTGACTATTGTAAGGCAAAAAGAATTTTACGAGCAGGAGATGCTTACGTTATTGTAACAGGTTCTCGTCGTGGAGTTGGTTATTGTGATTCTGTAAGACTTTTGTATGCAAGTGCTCGAGATACTGTACTTATGGAATAGATTGCTATACTTGTCAATTGATATGTTAATGTTGTATTTTATTGTACTTACGTTATAGCAACAATGCTGTTATTATTGTTTTAGAAGATAGTTACATGTTATTTTTAATTTCTGCCATATATTTTTTCTCACAAGAGTGAGTGATTTTGTTTTTCTAAGCGGATATCTAAAATAATAAAATCGTTAATTTGATCATCGACTCTTGACTATAATAAGCTAAAAGCGGAGCTAAAATGTTACTTTGGCTCAGGTACTACAATTAAAAATAAAGGTTTGTTTGTTATCAAAATTCGAGGTCGTGCTGCTATCCTGTCCTGGTACTGTGTTACCTACACAGGGTACCCGGTAACAATCAGCAGGCTAATATCATAGGTAGCAAGCATATTCATATGATGCCGTTTTTCTATTTTAAATTTATTAATAAAAATAGATGAATAAAAATTAATTGCACAGAAACAAATATATCATGCATTTATTTTAATAGTTTGAAACGTTTAGGATATTTTTCTAGCGCGTCGTTTAGCTCGTGTAAGTATTCCACGTCCGCTTAATATTTTTAATGGCAACATTGTAGTGTCATTAAAGTGCTCTGTAGCTGTGGTTTGCGCTATGGATGCACAATTTTTTCTTTGAATCGATTTTATAGATCGTAATGGATCATACGCCTCAGAATCGATCCACAGATCGAATCGTATGCTCTTGAATCGATCTCATACAAATCGTTTCAAAATTTGTATTAAATAAAACATCTTTATTACGTGATTTATGCCATAATTATATATAACTATGTTTTTGCTTTCCACAGATGCCAGTCCTTTACTTGTAACCATCGAGTATATAACCAGAAATAGAGAGAAAATGTTATTTAATTTGTTTGAAAACTGCTCTGCCAAATCATTACGGTGATAACTGCGCTCCGATTGGCCAGCCCAAATTCGAAACAAATGACGGGTGTCGTCAATTGTTTCACTTCAAAATGACCAGTTTAACTAGAGCTTTGATATAATGGACGAAAATTGAAAAATTACATATTAAATTACCGATGAAACGTGGTTCCGTTTGTAATTTAATTAGATGTTTTGCTGTTTTTCCCACACCACTAAAATCAAATTTGTGATATCAGCGCAAACTGTTAGAGTTTGAGTATGATGTTCAATGAAACTTAATGGTCATAAAGAAGAAAAGAAATATGCTTAAATGTCATGTTTAAATACAGCTTGTCAAAAAATAAAAAGAAATAGCATAATCTCAGTACAGAGTACTAAAAAAACCGACCTCAAAAGTACGTGGAATTACGTCTATTTGCTAAGTTTCATTGAAATATCCCCTAGTTCGCCACTACACAGGACTTGATACTGGAGATAATAAAAATAGGTTCTCACTACGACACTACTCAAAGTATATCGAGAAAAACGCCTTGAATTGGAGAAATAGCAAAATCAACTAAATCATTGCTAAAAGTAATTGCTCCTAAATTAAAGTTAGGCGCTATTTATAAAAATGAATCTTCATGCGTGAACAGCCACCCTTTGAGGTGGATGATTTTCTTCAAAATGAAATGGGACCACTATGGAAGTATCCCCTTTCCAACAAAAAAAGAATCATGAAAATCGGTTCACAAATACCGGTGTTATCGCGTAACACACATACAAAAAAAAAAGAACATACAGTCGACTTGAGAACCTCCTCCTTTTTTGAAGTCGGTTAAAAATGTATTTACAATTTTATTTGTAAATAGTACTAGCAAAGTGTAGTAAATTCATCAACTATAAATTTTAAGTGGTTATGAGCCATCTTTGTTGAACATTTGAAAACTACGCGGAAAAATCCGATCGAAATGGAGTTATGTAAAATTCAAATTACGAAGCTGGACATAACTGAGGCCAATGGTGTAATCGCATAACCGCAATGCTCAACGGCATCGACGAATTAATGGATACCGTGGAGGGCCAAGTACAAGAACCTAAGCGACCAGTGCTGCCGGTAATGTTGGCACTTCTCTTCTTGAGGACTACAATCGGATGCTAAGAGAATACAAGAGAGGCTTAAGCACTGCGTTGCTCGTGATTACAAACAACATCTCGGATGAAATCCTGTACAAAGTGATGAGATTCGGTCACCCTAAGGATGTAAGGCATGAGTTGTATCGGCTGTACGACGGCATGTATGAGGACAGTTTGTATAAAGCTTGTTTGGCATTTTCTAAAGCGAAAAAAGATCCAACAGATGACATAGTGACTTGTATTTCGAAATTGAAAATTGAATGGCATACTTTGCAGCAGGAGTTAGTTAAATCAGGTGAAGGTACAGATTTACCGGAGTTTCTGCTAATCTGCAAGATTTTTTGGATAGTTTGCCGTATACATAGCGAGTTGATTGCTAATGTAAAAGAAGGACATAACAGTAGAAAGTTCAACAAGTCAGTTATGTGTTCACAAGAACGCACTGTTGAACTGTCACGACGAAGAGTCTGGAGTTGAAGCTTTTACTGTGAAGATTAATAAATAGAAAAAAATTCAGAAGGTACTAAAACAGAATTCGGATACTTTGAAAGAGGAGAGCAGACGCTGCTTTATATTCAAGGAAGAAGGTCATTTAAAGTTGCATTGTCCTAAGAAGAAGTCTGGAATGACAAAACCTGAGAATGTACGAACTGTGGGTATGTCTAGCATGACGCTAACTTCGGTTTTTGCTATTTCTGCTGAGAATTATCCTGAGCACATCTCATATTGATAATGGAGCAAGTAGTCACGTAACGATGCGAGCAGATTTGAGGAATTTCGACGAATGTTTCGTCCAAACAATAGTGTAAACGCGGTGTTAGACTATGGAAACTAAAGGACATGTTATGTTGACATATATAAATCAGGCGTAATATGTATATGATGCATTTCGACATTGAAAACATAAACATGTTATTGTCTTTGTTTAACTCTTGCGTGCCGTCTTAAGCCAAAAGAGATAGCATTACATTGGTCTGTGTCAAACACGCGAATCGAAATTACGTAACGTCATGCCAACCGTGTCCATTTCGCAATACATGTGGTACATGATACGGTTGTCAAAGGGTAGTACATCAAATGTGAAAACAAATGTTTTCCAAGTGTTTTATTGAATTATTCACATGTATTGTAATAAAATGGACAAAAATATTGATAGTGAGAACAATCGAGTATTAATAAAAATTCGTCGCTGCAGCATTACGGGATGTAGCATTTGAAAAAGCGAAGATCGACCGATTGTACGGGCACGTGTTATTTTTCTGTCTATAAATCATATAAAAGCCCAAATATCTCGTATAATGAGACATATTTAAGTAGTTTATTCATAAATCTTGCCAAATATTGCTTTGGTTTCTTCAGATTGCCTGCTTGTTTGTATATTTTGATGATTGTTGTTAACGATTATTTTGGGATAGTGTTGTTCTTGGAAGCGTACATATTATCGATATTCTGTTATTAAAATAATTCACTACGAGGTTTTTATTATTATTACTATTTCAAGTTTACCTACAAATAAAAAAAGGATGTTATGGCGCGTCGTATATAAACATTGAATCAAAGACCATCTTCATTTATTTCATTCGCTTCATTTTGAAGAGTTAAATTTTAACATAACTTTGAATGTAACTAGATTACATGATAATACAATTCCATCATTAGTTTTTTTGGTAAATAATTTTATATTTAATTTAGATTAAACAAAACTCATTTACTAGGCATTCTCAGGTCCTGAAAACAAAATTATCCACTCGTTTCCGATTTTTTCCCCACTGACAACTTTTACTTTTTACTAAAAATTCTTATTTTATAAAGCTAGCAATACAAACTAAAGACCATGTTGGTCTAATGTTGCCGGGTGAAGGCCAATACCAACGTATAGACCGCCTATTTGCCTTCCCTTGCCTTGCCATCATTCGGTGTCACTCGCCTAGCTGACCGAGTGTTTGACGTGGCTTGTCACAACTCGCAGTCGTTCATGACTTTTGTCTCACTACGGAGATGTGTCGATTTTTCTGCACAAATCAAATGCGCTCGGCCAATAGTTGACATTGTATAATCAGACATTTGCATGCTATTTAATATATGCGAAATAAATTTATACTAGCACTGTCTCTTGTTACATTTCCAGTTATACCATGTTTTAAGCAAATAAACGTACGACAATAATATTATTATTGATAATGTTACTACTTTCATTTATCTCCAAAATTAAATGGAAGTATTAAATATTCACTTAATTCTATATCAATGCATAAATACAAAAAAGCTTATACTATTTGGAATCTGTTTAAAAAATTCTCTATGAAAATATGAATCTTGAGGTTGGAAATATATAGAATTTATATTTCAAAGTTTTCTCTTTTTTATATACCTACTCTCAAATTACAAAATATTAATTTTTTCTTTGCAAATTCACTTTTCGTAATATTTGAGTATTTGTAAACGCAAAACAATAAACTCAAAATTGTATGTGACATTCCCGGATATTCCCTTTTAACCTAAAATATTCCTAAATGGAATATTGGTCTACTTTAATTAAATGTTTGCATGTCGATAATGACTTTTCGATAGATTATGGTACGACACTAAAGTAATCCGCCATTTGTTCGTTCAATTTTTGTTTAGGTATGCACGTTCATTTCGTAGCTAGGGCAGCTCCTTTCTTTTATTTTTTTTCCATCTATTGAAATTATTGATGTTGTTGTATGTATGTATTGTACCTACTTTTCCTTGCGGAAAAGCAAATAATATCTTTAGGCCATGCAACCTAGCCTGTGTTTGTTTTTTTATTCATGTGTTTTTTTTTATTGTTTTGGATCCTGTTAGATCCTTTTTTTTCCATCCTCTAAGGTTATCCATATTAACTGTTCTAATAGCTATTTATGTATTTGTATTTAACGTCCATGTTTTCCTTATTTAAGTTTCCTCGTTTTGCAGTGGCGTAAACGCAAACCGCGAAGTGCAGGAAAAGGAAACGGAACTTTCAAGTCAGACAGACAAGACTCAGGGTCGTATTCCAGAACTCTACTCAATGTTCAAGTCAAGATTTGAGCAGACTTGAGTATGATTTCAAGCACTGGAAATACGACCCTAATGGCAAGGACTTGAGTATGATTTTCAGTGCTCACTGCAATACTCAAGTCCTGACTTGAGTATTGAGTAGAGTTCTGGAATACGACCCTAAGAGTCGTATTCTAGAACCCTACTCAAGGCTCAAGTCAGGATCTGAGTATGGTTTAAAGCACTCGAAATCATACTCAAGTCCCTACCATTAGAGTCGTATTTCCAGTGCAATCCTGACTTGAGCATTGGGTAGAGTTCTAGAATACAACCCTAAGGGTCGTATTCTAGAACTCTACTCAATGCTTAAGTCAGAACTTGAGTATGATTCAAAGTACTAGAAATCATACTCAAGTCCCTGCCATTAGGGTCGTATTTCCAGTGCTTGTGTTGCCAGTGCAATCCTGACTTGAGCATTGAATAGAGTTCTAGAATACGACCCTTAGAGTCTTCCTAGATGAAATTACAAATCTCCCCCTAAGCCTCTAACAACGCCCCCATTTTTTTTTCTGGGTCTCTTACCGCCCCCTTTAGGCCTGCAGCGCTCACAAGGGGACGTTATCGCCCACTTTGGGAAAGGCTGCCATAACCGATTATGCTGTCCGCTAATGTCAAATATAATATTCTGATGGTCGTATTCCAGAACTTTACTCAATGCTCAAGTCAGGATTTGAGTATGGTTTAAAGCATTCAAAATCATACTCAAGTCCCTGCCATTAGAGTCGTATTTCCAGTGCTTGTGTTTTAATTGCAAACCTGACTTGAGCATTGAGTAGAGTTCTAGAATACGACCCTTAAAGTGCCATATGATAGTTCCAGAACATGATTTAAAGCACTAGAAATCATACTCAAGTCCTTGCCATTAGAGTCGTATTTCCATTGCTTGAAATCATACTCAAGTCTGCTTAAGTCCTGTCTTGAGCATTGAGTAAAGTTCTGGAATACGACCCTCAGATGGTATAATGTTCTGTTGGATGGAGCCAGAAGCCAAAACAACACAAAAAAACCGTACCATTTAAGGGAATGTGAGTATAGTGTTCCGTGATTATAACTAGGATGGAAAAAGAATTCCATAGTCTATCCTTATGGATGAAGCTGTTTTTGTAGATTCTTTCCTCAGTTAACTTTTTCGGAATTTACCATTCCACAAATTAGAATGATATAGTAAGTCATTCTTTGAGTTAAAAACGCGTGCGTTCCTCAACTTGGCATTGGCGGGTTTAGCGATGCGCTATTGTGGATGATTTCAATATTCGACACGTTAGTAATCGCTAATCCTGTCATTCGAATGTCAAATTAGTAACCTACTAATTTTCGTATTCGAATGATTTAAATGATCATTCATTACTAATTAGTAGTACTAATCCATAGATTCCATAGAGCATTTCTGCTCGTGATCATCTACCCTCTCTGACATATGGTAAACACTGTAAATGTGACGGGAACAGGGATATTGTGTGGTCTTGACATGATGAATTAGGTGTTCCGATATAATAATCATTCGACTCGTGCACCCAACCGACTATAACGAATTCGGTATTGATAAATCATTCAACTCGAGTCGAATGATTGTGCTTGGGTTCGATTTACTCGAATGATTTGCATTAGACTATATAGTATCATTCAAAGTCGCACATCGCGGGTTTACCGGTTTACCGATATGGTATCCACAAACTAATAAGAGATACTCATGGTATCGATGTCATATTAGATTAGATAGTCATTTTTACTTGACATTTGCGAAATCATCGTTTGTTTCGATGGAGCCATAGCATTTCAAATAAGAAGAAGAAGAAGATAACAGGGTACACAAGGCACTCTTTGGATTGGATGGAGCCGCACTCCGCAATCTGCACTTGAAGTGGAAAAGTGCGTTAGCATCCCTAAGTTTGTGGAGGAAAAATTGAAAACTAATGTTTAAATAACCAAGAAGCTTATAGAGAAACGGAATGACGGCCCTCGAAACATCTGTGAGAGAGTGTTGCGTTGCTCTGTTGTCGGTGCGTGCTACAGAACGCAAGAAAAATGCGGAGATACTTAAAGATTTCTTGATCAGAAATGCTGTACCTTCTCTTCTATCAGAAAACACTATCAAAAAGCAAGGGTACTCCTGGAACAATGTTTTCAACGATATACACGAGTTTGTACTGAAGGTATACTTTATTTATTTGATTTAATTTTGTAGATACAATATTTAAAAATGTAATGTTTTCAGTTACTATTACCTATCGTAGGGTAGATAGTTCCGAAGATGACTTATTTTACAGAGTGCACTTTAAATGTAGAAGGCAACATATTTATTGTATTTATCATCAGTCCACTGTAGCCCCGCTGCTGGGATCGGGTCTCCTCTAAAGTGAGGGTTAAGACTGTAGTCTACTCATAGTCAATGTAGGTTGGGGACTTCACATGATTTTATTATGATACCAAGTGACAGAATGAACATGTCAAGTACCTGGAGTTAAGCGACATGCCTGTCCCTATCAGTTGCAATGCCTCTCAGAGCTTTAAGTTGCAAAGATCTGACACTGACTCTGACTCTGGCACTGCCACAGCGCCCATCACCCTTAGACATAAGTTGACAAGTCCCATGCACCTGTAATTTCACTAGCACCCTTACCCTTCAAAACTGAAACTAAATAATGCTCACATTACTGCTTGGTGGTAGAAATAAGTAAGGCAACGGTACTTCCCTGTACAGACTCTTTTTTTTTTATGTATATAGTATCAAGTGATGTGAAGTCACATGGAGCTCTACTGCTACTAAACTGCTACACCAAGGGTTGTGAACTGTTTACAACATTAAGGTTTCTTTATGTTGTTTTCCTTCATCATTTGCAATAGATATTGCTACTATTTACAAATGTATGTAGTTAAGTAATTACTTATGAGTCATAAGTTATGACTTACCTATGACTTCAATTGAAGTCATAGGTAATACTACACAGGCACAGGGATTCAAACCATTGACATCTCAATTGAGAAGCACGTTTTTTACCATTGGGCTACCACTATTATTTAAGCTACCATCGCTATTTATTGTTTAAAAAGTTCTATTTATTTACTTGGAGCTGAACCAGTGTTGGGCAAAATTTAATTGTTCAGGCAATTAAAGATTGACACTTCATTAATTGTCATTTGCGATACATAAATTAACAATTGATTAATTGCTGTTCTCGCAATTAACAATTATTCATTGTTTGTCTCGAGTTTCTTGCTTATTCTTCTCAGGGGAATCTGCCTTACGAATGAGCGGTAAAGTTTAACCATTGTGGCGATTTCAAGTGTAATAATGCTTACCTATGAAATAAAGATTATTTTGAATTTTAAATTTTTGAATTTTATACGACTTAAGCAACTCGAGTTGTTTGCAATAGACTTATACCTATTTTAGTCTTATTAAACCTGAAGTTTATAAATGAACTAAATAGAACACATATACTATATACATTTTTCAAATAGCTTTAATTTCGTTTGTAAAAGATAAGTATGTCAATGCCCTTGTTTTCACAGTATCATTAAAAAACTAGGAAAATTGCAAAGAGAAACTTTTTTTTTCTTCTGTTTTTCTTTTTTTTTAGTCATTCTTTTCTTGTTAATACAAAATGTACTGGGCTCATGTTATTTCGTTGTTATTTTGGTAACTAGTTAATGTTCTTAGCTTTCAAATGACACCAAAATGTAGCATAAATAAACATTAAAGCACCTGTATTTTGAGGGCGGCGACGTACCGACCCTCATATGAGGGTGTTTTTGTAAATAAATTGACCATAGTTGACGCCTTTGAAATTTATACACTACATCCCCAGACTCGCTGTATAATTCTAGATGTTTGGTAGGGGTGCGATTCGTAATATACAGGCTGTATATTTGATAGTGGGGCATACTGATATAGTGCGTTATATTTCTGATTCTGAACCAAAGAAATAATAAACTAATGAACTTAAACTTTACAAAAAATATTTTTAAACTTTTTTTTATCGACTACCTTGAGAACGACATTAGTTATCGAAATCTATGCACATCACTATTATTGCTCCGACGCAGCGGCGGGTGGCGAAAAACAAAGCAGAGGTCGGGGGTGGGGGCGCGGGCGTATACGCGAAATTGCTTAGTGCACGCGCGAACTTGATCTAACGAAGACACGTAAATTATTTGTACTTCCGCTCGCCGCAAAATGGATATTTATTATAACGTCGAATTGACTGAGATGGTGCGACTTTACATAATAAGTGGTGATAGTGTGAGGCAAGCTATTGAAATGTTCCCAAATCGGAGTTTACGCGGAGGAGGTGAACAGTATCGAAGTGTTGCATGAGAGAATTATCCCAGCATTTTATACTGTGAGACAAAATGTGTTTGTGTTGTACAATTTAAAACAAAATTTACTATGCCGTGCTAGACTATGCATTGTGGAAAACGGTGGAAATTTGTTGTTGTAAGTTGGTGGTAAGTGTAAATAAACTGTAAATAACTAAAAAATCAATCATTGTAAATAATTTGATTTCACATTTTTAACTACGCCATAAACCTCAATTCTTATTAAATGATAACTAGTTACTAAATCATAAACTTATCTTTTTTTAATCATTGACTTACAATTATATGGATGTCGGGTCCGCGCTAAAAAGTGTCCGAACTTATAGGGCGTTAAAATCGTATACAGAGCGTCATTCACGCTTTAGTCTTCGTTTGTTCGACTGACAGCGAAGCAAGCAAAATTAGACAGTACTGCGATGACATTACACGGTAAAAACAGATTACTTAGAAAAAGACAAAATTCTTTTTATGAAGACAATTTTATTAAATCCAACAAAACGATTCTCTCTCTATAGACGCTAGAGAATAATTACTTGATAATAGTAAAAAAACGTCTCAAAAGTGTATTTTCGTTACAAGACAAAAATATTTAATCCAAGAGCAAATTAATTTACTTCAAGTCACAAAGCCACTCTAGATTCAACAAAATATTTATTTGTTACTAGAAATGTCCGATTTTGATTTGAAAAAAAAAAAAGAATGAAAAATTGAGAGGTACTTAATTATTTGACTGAAGATTTATGTTTTCTAATATCAAAAAGGATACATTCACAGGGTTATGGACCCAACAGTGCCCCAAACCTTAAAGTAGCAGAAATAGGATGGAAATATGGAATTTTCTCAAATACTTGAGGACCATCCAGTGCCGTATAAATGCTACAGCGGCAGAAAGCACTAACAATTCCAAATATATGAGATGACTTTATACTATTGAAGTTAACAAAACGATAGCGCGTTTCAGAGTACATCTAATGCCATCTAGCAGTGGCGTGATGGAACTAATTGCATGTTATGCTTGTTACAAGTGTATATAGTTTGATTTCATGCTGTAACCAAATTTCTTGAAT